TCAAGGTTTATAAGGCTAAGGTATGGAGGTATAAGGTATAAGGCTCTTGTATGGAGCAGAAATTTGGGGTGTTTACTCAACCACAGTCCTAGAACAAACACAGTCCCAGCATTTGAGATGTATTTTAGGTGTAGATCCAAGAACATCTGCTGCAGCAGTTAGAGCTGAATTGGGAATTTATACAATTCAGGCATTATCTAAAATTAGAGCTTATAATTACTGGTGCAAAGTTAATGAAATGGAGACTGATAGACTACCCAAATTATGCCTACTAGAGCAAATAAAACTACAATCACAAATCTCCTGGATCATTAAACTAACAAATTTTGTAAGAAGCTGTGGTCTTCCTATCTCTTGTGTAACAGGAGAACAATCTAAAAAAAGAGTTGCCCAAAGAATTAAGGATATAGATGCACAAATTGATATAGCTATCCTTAGTAAGGTAGGTAACTTAAACTGGTTGAGTAAATGCAAATGTACTTTCCAAGTAGATAGCTACTTGAAGTCACAATTCCCAAAACACCTTAGGGGGAGATATTTACAAGAGCAAGATTTGAACAACTTGACACAATGGTTAGATACGGGAGATTTCATGCAATACCGTACAATGACCGTCTCTGCATTTGTGGAGTGGCAGAGGTAGAGGACCTGGCTCACATCCTTTTTGACTGTTGCCTGTATAAGAGGATGAGAGACAGGTATCTTGGTCTATATATCAGACGAATGATCCATTGGGATACCCATATCAAAATAACTTACCTTATGTCTGGTCAGAACTTGAAAATAACATTTAAAGTAGCACAGTATTTAAACAAAATGATTCGGTTGAGATCTGCATATGTCAGATTGATTGGGGTAGATTGCAAGGGCGACTCCGAAATATGATGTTATTATATTTTATCTAAAATTATTGCATATTATTACAATTTTATTTTGGATTGTATTTTATTACTATTTCATCTCAAATCGTATTTTGTCTAGATTTCATTTTAAATTGTATTTTATCAAGTTCCATTTAAATATTTTATCAAATTTCATTTTGAATTGCTTTTATTAAATTTTAGTAACAAATTGTTGCTGGAACTTTGCACTTTGATATGGCCCAAGGGCTAATCAATAAAGACTTATTATTGTGATATTTTAGGGGGCAAACCAATTTATAGAAGGAGTGTTATTAATCAGAATGTATCAGAAACCAAGCAAAGATGGGCCATATGAGAGAAAGAGGCATATGCTGTGCGATGGACACTCCTCACATGGAGACATTTCCTAGAAGGGAACAAAATCCCCTTCGAAGTCTGGACTGATCATAAAAATCTAGAAGCCCTGAAAAGTTCACGGAAACTCCCCCCAAAAAGTATGTTGGGCACAATATTTTAAACATTTTACCTTCACTCTCAAATATCTCCCAGGGGGAAAAATTTCTTGCCAGATGCCCTGTTCAAGAAACACCAATACAACAGCAAAAAGACTGAAATTGTAAAACCCATAATCCAACCAACCCAACTTGCAGCCAAAGTAATCATCTGAGCACAAGGGAAGAAAGAACCACTTACTGACAATGCAACGACTTCCAAATTTAAGGAGGCACTACTTAAGCATGACTGGCTCCAGGCTAACAAAAACATTTTCTTACTCAAAGACTGTCTAGCCTGGGTAGAAAACAAACTTTACATCCCTGCCAGCCAGAGACTGGACTCATGAAACGATGCCACGACTCAAAAACAGCTGGACAGAATTCTGATGGCCATCTCTTAAAAAAGACATTGAAAGCTATGTTGCTAGTTGCCCTATCTGTGCTGCTGCAAAAAGAAGACAAGGAAAGTCCCCTGGACTTTTAGAAACAGCAGCAGAACCTTCAGCACCCTGAAGAGAGATTTCTATGGACTTTATAGTGGAGCTCCCTGAAAGTTCAGGAAACAAAGTTATTTGGGTTGTAACAGACCTTTTTTCAAAGAGGTTCATTTTGTATCCTGCCAAAAGATCCTAACAGCCAAGGCATTAGCAAAGATGTTTTTAATACACATTTATTGCCTCCATGGAGCTCAAGGATTATCTCAGACAGGGGTGTACGATTCACGTCCACATTTTGGTTGGCGTTTTTAAACCTATTAGGCTCCACCCAGGGGTTGCCCTCTTCTCGTCCCCAGACTAATGGCTTGACAGAGAGAGCTAATGGCATATTAGAATAATATTTCAGGTGATTTATTAATTACCAACAGGACAATTGGACTGACCTTCTACCTTTTACAGAGGTAGCGTACAATAATTCGGTTCACAGTAGCACTGGTTTCACTCCATTCCAGGTAGCCACAGGACAAGAATTCAACCTCATGCAAGAGCTACCTACCAAGGAACCTGAAATTCTCTCCTTTAAGGAGTAGATAAACAATTTACAAACCATGTGGCCAGTGGTCAGACTAGCCTTACAAGAGGCTAGAGCAGCTTTTAAAACTCAAGTGGACAAAAAACGTTGTGAACCTAAACCGTTTAAAGTTGGGGACCACATATATTTATCTACAAAGTTCCTAAAATCATTACAACCCTCTAAGAAACTGGGACCTACATTCATTGGGCTGTTTTCCATCTCCAGAATCATCAACTCTGTTACTGTACACCTTCTACTCCCCAAGACACTTAGACAGGTTCATCCAGGATTTCACTGCAGCCTACTCAAACCAGAGATCACTTCAAAACTTAGACCCCCCCCCCCACCTCCAACTCACATTATGGTACATGGGGAACAACATTTTGAAATTAAAAATATCCTTGACTCACATACACACCATGGATCCACACAATATTTTATAGCTTGGAAACACCTTCCCTCCTCACAAAATGAGTGGGTAGACAAACAACATGTAAAACCCCACACATTACTACAGAAGTTCCACCTGAAATACCCTCACAAACCATCCTAAATTGTAAATGTAAGACATGTTTTATGTCTTCCAGGTGGATTTGTCAATTTTTTTGAAGAGGGCAGTATGTCAGATCCGTGTATCTGCCATTCTTCAATGGAAAAAAAAGAAGGGGGGTTGATACAAGTAATCCTTTTTTATGTAACCTGAGTATCTTAATTCTTGTTTTGAATCTGTATAACCTGCACATGATTTACAACTGGGGACTGGAGCCCAGATGCCTGGAAACTTTTCACCTCTTGGAGAGATAGCAAGAGGAGAAGGGGCGATAAAAATTCCAGCTCTGAAAGAAACTTCCAGGGAAGCTCTTCTCAACTACATTCCCAGAAAAAAAAGGGGGGGTTAATATGTTGCTTCTTTGTATTGATGAAATCCACACCAGACTAAGGGGAGGGGTTCTAACTCCCTTTATCTAAGTGCATGCCTGGAGGGATATTCGACCCTGCTTTGAATATCTTCCTTTTCAATAAAAAATTCCTTTTTAAATACCCAGTTTTCAAAAGTTCATTGTTATCATCTGAAGGGGAGAGTGTCTGGTCCTTTACACAGGAACTTGAACAGCTAGCCCTGTGGTGCAGCCAGAGCCATCTGGAATTGAACACACTTAAAACTGTAGAGATGATAGATTTTAGGAGCAGCTCTACTATTTTACCATCTTTTACAATATTAGACAACTTAGCAAGAGGTCTTCAAGTTTCTGGGTTCTACCCCAGGACTGGAAATGGATAGCTAACATTAGAACCAGCATTAAAAAGCTACAACAAGGAATGTTCTTCCTGTCAGCTCAGAAAGCTCAGGTTGCCCAAAGATCTGCTGATATAGTTCTACAGAGAAATTACTGAGTCTGTCATTGTACCTCTATAACTGTCTGGCTTGGCACAGCAACCACACAGGACAGGTACAAACTTCAACATATAGGACTGCAGAAAAAACAATTGCAACCACCTTGCCTAGAGGACCTGTATATTGTATGAACCAGAAAGAGAAAATATCTACAGACCCCTCACGTGCTGGACATAAAACTGTTTTAACTTCTCCCCTCTAGATGCCACTATAGGGCATTGCATGCCACAAGAATTAGATACAAAGATAGTTTTTTCCTCTATAATTTTACTTATTAAACACCTAATTCTTACAGCACTATCTTATGCCTTATACCCATGTACCCTGTTTCTCCAACAATACGGCCTCCCCCAATAGGAAGTCCCAGCAGGTTTTATAGGCATGAAATGAAATTAAGCCCCTCCCCCCAAATTAAGGCCTATATTAAAACATGCAAAATGGGGGGGAAATGGCGGGGGGGTTGCCATTAGGAAGCACTTTTGTTGCACACCTGGATATGGTGCTGCCTGCGTTGACCCCGATACGAAGTGCCCCACCAACGCCGAGGTCAACATCCAAGCCATCGCCGCCTGCCTGCCCGAAGATGCAAGGGGGGGGGAATTAAGTCACCCCCGAAAAGACGGCCTAGCCATTTTTTCGGGGCTCAAAAAAAAAATAAGACCCGGCCTTATTATATGAGAAACACGGTAGTAAGGCTGTATTGCTATTATTTTTGTCGTCTTTCTTATCTTTTCATTTTTCCTGCTACCATTGGAATCTTATGATTTATCACTTGTTTGTATCTTCTGATTTATTATTGTATCTTATGATATATGACTTATCACTTTGTTGTTTGTATGTACACTGAGAACTTATGCACCAGAGACAAATTCCTTGTGTGTCCAATCATACTTTGCCAATAAAGTATATTCCAGTGTGGAAGATGAGGTGAAAGTATTCAGCATTATTCCTTCAAAACAGAATATTTAATTTATGAAGTAGATTTCATTTGATGTTAAAAAAAATTGTAAAAATCATAATAGTATCAGAAGGGAAACAAACTGCCTTAAGAAGTGATGGAGCCTCCTTTGTGGATGTGTTAAAATTGCGGCAGAAGGATGCTGTAATATTGAATTGCCACTTATTATCAAGTCATTTTCACTTAACAAGTATTTTAATATATAGTAATAATAAGCATTGTCAAGTAAGCATTGCCCATTGATTTTGGCAAAGTAAACTGCCTTTTTTCTTCTTCAGGCAGAGTTATTGGGAATTTACCCTTCTCTGGTGAGAAGGAGATAGATCTGGCTGTAAAGAGTGCACATGCGGCCTTCAAAATATGGAGTCAGAAATCAGGCATGGAACGGAGCAACATTCTGCTGGAGGCAGCCCGAATTATCCAGGTATGTGATATAAAAGCAATATTGTAAGGTTGTGCTGGCAAGTTTATTAGTATTGGGGGGTACCCTGACTTTTATGGAACCTGGATAGTATCGAGTAGATAGGATACACGTTGATTCCCAGGAATCAGGATGACTTTGGTCAAAATTACTGTTTTGTCACTTTTGACAAGGAAGAAAAATATGCAAGCCTCAGATTGTACACAGATCATAGATTGATTTGAAGTGATTTAAAGAAACAGGTCAAATCCTATCTTCACATTATCTGTTAATTTCACTACTCTAGCTTTTCCTTAAGCAGCTGTACATTACAAGAAATGAAGAGTTCAGATAGAAAATCTGCTATATTGTAAAGTTCAGGAACCTACAATTTAAAGAACTATGTTCTTTAATCCATAAAGCAATTCACTAAAAGTCTCATGGTATCTTTTCCAACTAACAAGATTTCATTTAAAAGCATTAGTTTCTCTCAGCTACAGCTTACTTCATCAGATACAACGGTGGTGGTTCCCATTGACTTTGTTTGGCAGAAGATCAAAAAAGAGATCACATGACCAAGGGATACTGAAACTCATAAATATGAGCCAATTGCCAAGCTTTCAAATTTTGATCCTGTGGCTATTAGGATGCGATGAAACGGTCATAAGTATGAAAAATAATCATGTCACGATTTTCAGTGACATTGTAACTTTGAACAGTCACTAAATGAATGATTGTAAATCGTGGAAAACCTATAGTTCTCTCCATCGGAGCCTTTCGATGGGGAGAGCTCGGAGCAGGGCCGCAGGTCCTTGCCTCTGACGCCACTGGAAGCACAGCTGGAAGTCCCAGCTGGGTGGAATTTGATGACAGGTCACTTGTTCAATGTTGTTGCAACTTTGAGTGGTTGCTGAATGAGTTAAATTATCACTTAGAAAAATATGGTCTATTTGGAATGCACAGGATGGCATCCTGCAAGGATGGGCAAATTTTGAGTCAGGAATTATAACTGTCCCCTGACCAGATTTTAAGCTGTAGGAAGCTTTCCAATGTCTGGGTGATATTTGTTAAGCCTGGATTCCCCAACGGGTGTTAAGGAAAACAAACTAAACAGAATGTACAGCGAAGTCAGATAGGAAGACAGGTAAATGTGTGAGATAAGTCTTCTAGTTAACACGCAGTAAAAATACAGATACGCTTGTGCTATCAAAAATATAGTTTATTCCATTTAAGAATTATAGCATAGTCATAATAAACGGTCCATTAGTCATATATCATTTCAGTCAAGTCTTGTCGGGGATACTCTATTTGCAAAGTCTGTGTTGAATAGCCAATGTCAGTTCACTTACAATAAATCAGTCAATCTTTATCTTCTCTCCCTTGAGAAAATAAACACTCCTTTTTCTCTCCCCGTTCCAGCAAGAACGCAGTCATCAATCCATCCAGTAATTAGGGATCTTCAAGCCAGAGAGAGCGAGCTGCAATTGCCTCGCTTCTTATATTGTGCTTTTACAACCACACCCTTAATTACATTTTTGCAGTTAAAGTTACACACACTTTAACTAACAAACCATGATACCTTATTTATTATTTTTACCCAAACCAGTTAGGGTAAACAATGTTATCCCTAACAATATTAATGAAAACTTTGTTGGGTTAAGAGGTTTGTAGAGAGAAATGATCTTCAGAGGTTTTTTTTCCCTATCCCTTTTTTGCCATGTTGACTGAAAACTGTTCCATTAAATTACAGCAGACTTAAGCAGTGCTAGGGAAGTGTCTCATAAAGCCTGCAGCTGATCTACTCCTGATATGTGGTTATAGCACACTAACATATTTAATTGTATATGCATAGGCTTTTCTGTAATTTTGCCAATGCTCTGAGTACAAGCTATTTTCATGTTTCAAAATTCAGCCTCATTGAAAAAGAATTATTCACCTTGCTGGTTGATCCAGCAGATCATAGTTTCCATATGTGACAAAATGTATTATGTTTGTATTCTATTTCACTTGAAAAATGCATGCAGTTGTAAATCTCCTATTCCCCAGCTTCTTTTTAGAATTTTCTTTTGAAGCCCAATATGTACAAAGGTGTTCAGGATTTATTCTTTTTATTTTTAATTATGTTTTTATTCAAATTGTACTTTTTTAGTATGCTTTTTTAGTATGCTGTCCAGAGAGCTTCAGTTACTAGATGTTTTAAACATTTTAATAGATGCATAAAAAATAGAAATCTTATTGCTACTGCTTAGCATGTTCTGTGCTATGTATTGGATTCCAGGAAAGAAGAGAAGAAATTGCCACCATAGAAACAATCAACAATGGGAAATCCATCTTTGAAGCTCTCATAGACGTTGATGTATCTTGGCAATGCCTCCAGTATTATGCTGGTCTAGCTGGTTCCTTAGCAGGTAGCTGTTACATGTCCTATTTGTTAATCCTGTCTCTTTTTTCATTAATTATTCTTTGGTCTAATGTCTCCTTAAAAAAACCCAATTAATACAATTTTATAAGTACTTAATATTTAAGAATTAATATCAGGTGCTTCCAAGGAAAAAGTCTTAGAGCAAAGGTAACTTTGAGAGCTCTAGTTGATGTAGACTAGCAGAATTTTTCTTGAATGTTTTAATATTAATTCCAGATTAATGGGGTATGGGAGAATAGTATGGTACACTTTAGATTATTCATCTTAATTTGCATAGAATAATTTGAAATTGTTCAAAATGAATCTTGTGTTACGCTTCCCAAAATTTGTCAAATTTGCGTAGTGTTATATTGTTATCATTAGGAAGCAATGCTGCAAGTACCATGGGTATGATTAAAATTAGTGAATTAGTTTCTTTTTTAATTATATGAAAGCCACAATCCTATCTGTTGATTTCTGCATGTGGAAAAAATGTGGTCTTGAATGTAGGAGAGGTATGTGGTAAAAAACATGAATTAATGAATTAAATGAAGATATGTTGTATTGTTTTGAATATAAAGAGATGAGTATGATTAACAGAAAACTATGATAAATAGAGTTGAATCAGTGTGATTTTATGCAGTGAAGTGATGTATGCATGCATGAAGGTGAAAATATAGTTAATCTGTGAATGGAAATGCTAAAAGGACTAACAAATATAGGTATGAGATTGTATCATCTAGGTAATTTGTCAATACATATGAAAGTACAGTAGGAGTAGTTGCTTAGTGAATGATAAGTAAAATGTTTTTCAAGAGCTTTTAGAAAAACTACAATATTGGGAAGGTGTTTGGTAGAATTCTGATGGAAGATATATGTGATGACAGTGAATAAAATTTGAAAATTATAATCCTTCTCTATGCTGGGCAGAATACAGATTTTTGCCGTTCCACAATCATTGAGGAAGGTAGTATGTAGTGTATGTCTACTGCAAGAAATTACTTTTGTTGAAAGAAGTAAAAATAGCTCTGCTTCTGCCCTCTGATGATTTGATTTGATGATTTGCTGGAATTCCATGCAGGATAGTGAATTAGAAAGAAGGACTGGTTGCACTGTCTACATTTTTCTGGAGCATTCAGTTTCTGTATTTATTATAGGATGGAAAAGTCTGATCTTCAACAATTAGAAGTTCAGTAGGTTATGTTCCATCCTTCCTTTACTACTTTTCTGGACATAAAGCCTTTTTAATTACTCTGCTTCTCATTGAGAATTGGTTTATATTTCTTATGCACAGATCTTTAAAAGGGGGGGGAACAAACACAGGAAACTACAGACTAATCAGGCTAACATCAATACCCAGGAAAATACTGGAAAAGATAATTTAAAAAAAAACAGATCTGCCAACATCTAGAAATGAGTAAAGTAATAACTAGGAATCAACATGGGTTTGTTAAAAACAGATCAACGCCAAACTAATCTTATTTATTTTTCAATATAGTGACTAAATAGTAGACCAGCGAAATACTGTGAACATAATATACTTAGACTTCAGCAACACATTCAACAAAGTAGACCACAATTTACTTCTTGGTAAGCTAGACAAAAGATAGCATCACCACCAGATGGATGACAAAATGTATTCAACAAGTAGTCCTTAATGGTACCACATCTACTTAGAGGGAAGTAAGCAGTGGGATACCACAAAGTTCTATCCTAGGCTGAGTACTCTTCAATATCTTCATACAAGACTTAGATAAAGGAACAGAAGGGGAACTTACCAAATTTGTGGATGATACTAAGCTGGCAGGAATAGCCAACACCCTAGATGACAGGCTCAAGATCCAGATGGATCTTGACAGACTTGAACACGGGTCCTATCTAACAAAATGAAATTCAATGTACAGAAAAGTAAAGTCTCACACTTGGGCAAGAAAAACCAAAAGTACACATATAGATTGGGTGAAACCAGGCTTAAACTGTGAGAGGGATCTTGGAGTCTTAGTGGACAACCAGCTAAAGCAGTATGCAGCAGCAGCCAAAAAAGCTAATGCAATCCTAAGTTGTATTAACAGAGGGATACAATCAAGATCAAGATAGGTACTAATACCACTCTATAAAGCCTTAGTAAGACCACACCTAGAGAACTGCATCCAGTTTTGGTCATCACACTATAAAAATATGTTGAGACTCTAGAAAAAGTGCAGATAAGAGCAACCAAGATGATTAGTGGATGAGTGATACAATGAACAGTTGCAGGAACTGGGCATGACTAGTCTAGTGAAGAGAAGAGAAGGACCAGGGGATAGCAGTGATAGCAGAATACCATGATAGCAATATTTGAGGGACTGCCACAGATAGGAGGGGGTCAAGCTATTTTCCAAAGCACCTGAAGTCAGACAAGGAATAATGGATGAAAACTGAACATGGAGAGATTCAACTTGGAAATAAGGAGAAATTTTCTGAGATTGAGAACAATCAACCAATAGAACCATTTGACTTCCGAAGTTGTGGGAGCTTTCTGAAAGCTTTCAGGAAGAGACTAGACTGCCGTCTGTAAAAAATGGTGTAGGGTCTGCTTGGGGGGGGGGGGGGGGGACTAGATGACCTACAAGGTCCCTT